CTAAACTCCGATTTTGATATGTAATGAGTAATAGTTTGGATGCGTTTCGAAAGGTTTGTTCCAGAGGATTTTTTCCCCCCACAAGCCTAGTTATTTTATTGCAATTTTATGAGTAAAATGAAAAATTACCAGAACGCATTATGTTCAATAGAAGTTGATTGATTGAAGATCGATGCTTCTTAGCGATGCTAGCTAATTTAAGTCTGTATTTAAATGCTCGGGAATGGTGTCTTTACAGGAAGTGAGAATAAATCGATGATAAATAGAATATGAGCCTTTCTCTGAGGCTCCAGTCAACACTGCGCCTCTGAGATTGCGATTCCCATGTTATAAGCAGCCCTGTCAGACATGTGACTCACAGATACTGAGACACCTAACAGCGGCAGGTCTATATATAAAAGCGGCCTTGTATTAACCACATTCACAGGTACGATGGCACCTTGCGATGGCAAGTTTATAAATACGCAAGTTTGCATTTAACAGCTTTGCCTCAGTAACAGATGCCGCTGCTCTGTATTTAAAATGAAAAGAAATCCCTTTCACAGGAAAGGTTACCCAATGTGCCAGTTGCATGTGAACTTTGGCCTGTAGGGCATCCGGAAATGGTGTTTTGTGAATTGTTAGTTCTCCCCTCTCGACCAAGGACCGGAAAATATCTGATAGCTAAAGACACACACTTGTAATCTGAGACACGAAATGTTGATTGACAAGTATAAAGATATTCTGACTCCAAACACCGGGGGGGGGGTGTAGAACGATTCCAAGGGCTCCAGAGAGACAGATGCCCTAAAGAATTTGCAACGTTATTGGATTGGTCGGGGTTGGTGCTCAAAGTGCTGTCATGGGGTCCAAAATCTGTAGCAGCGAGCCTGAAACAGGCCGTTGGAAGACAAGGGCTGTAGTGGGTTCCAGCAGGTAGCCATATTGACTGCAGGGTATGTGTAAACACTGGCTGAAAACACTTCATATTCCACTTCATATTCCACTTACTATTTCTTACTCGATTTAAGTTTTGGCCAATTTTAATTTTTTACTTGTGGTTACCTAGTTGTAGCCCAGAATGGTTAAGCGATCTCACTCCAAAATTTTTTTCAGTGGTCCTGCGATCATTAAAAGCCACTGAATCCAGTATGTTCCAGTTTCGCTTCCATGTCTTGAAGCTAAATGCTACTAAATGTACTTTGGAATAATCTGTAGTTTCAGGACTTAACAGATGTTGTCACAGATATCGTAACATACCTGTTGAATGTTATATTAACCCTGGAAGGGAGTAATCTGTCACAGTGTGGACAGACAGGCCGTCTATCATAGAGCCGCTACACTGGCACTGAAATGACACAGACGTGCATTTTGCTGACCCTAAAAATGGAAGATAAGTCCGAGAATGTGTTCTGCTGTAAGTACTTAGGATGGTTTGTACCCCCAGCTGCAGGGGGCGCTGCATGCTGGCTGACCCAGCGCTTTGTACCCCCAGCAGCAGGGGGCGCTGCATGCTGGCTGACCCAGCGCTTTGTACCCCCAGCTGCAGGGGGCGCTGCATGCTGGCTGACCCAGCGCTTTGTACCCCCAGCAGCAGGGGGCGCTGCATGCTGGCTGACCCAGCGCTTTGTACCCCCAGCTGCAGGGGGCGCTGCATGCTGGCTGACCCAGCGCTTTGTACCCCCAGCTTATCTCACTTATCATCCCACGGGAATCAATAAGGTATCATTATTCTATTCACAGTATTTCAAAATGCTGAAACATCCACTGAAATATTCTGTGAATGGTAAACCTTTGTTATTCACATCTCTTGAGATTCCACAACACTAATTGCATCTTGGCCTCCAACATTCACACTTATAATAGCATATACTGCATAAAATGCTTTTATCAATTTAAATTGGTAACAAAAAAACTGTTGTGTTCATAAAATAATTCTTTAACTTCATGAGCTAAAGAAAATGGGTTTCATTGTGTTGACTGCCTTGTTTGTTAAACTCATCTCCACTGCCACATCCAAATAAATCTCTTTCTTCATATGCCTGTGTGATTACTCTTGGTAAAAGATGGATTAAAGAATGATTTTTTAGGCACACAATTGACACTTGAATTGTATATATGAGGGAGAATGGGCGAGAATTAAGAAAGAAATGCCATTAAATGTTGGATTCACTGTGTCAAGAACTGGAATGCAGCTGCATTATTCCAAGTACAGTTTCCTGTAAGTAATTATAAAGGTTCACCACCCAAAACACGCCTAGCCAAATGCAGCAGAGAACACACTTACGAAAAAGGTGAAAAGAGGCTGACACACACTATGCAGGTCTACAGTTAGTATAGAATATTATTTAGCACTATACAATGTAGAATATAATCATTATGATATTATTAAAAAGCATACCAAATACTCATGATGTAATCATTACAATGTAATCATTATAATGTGAACAACACAATGTAATAAATTCAGGATGTATTTGCACCTTGTGTTAGCCTCGGTGTTTCTGTTAGCTACTTTATGTTAGCCCTGAATGTATGAATATCTACCTTTACTAGTGTTATAGCTTATCTCTATGTTGAAAAACAAATATATTATCAACCCTCTAGCCAGACAATCTGCAACAAGCTGAAGCTGCCAAGGTTTGCTACTGAAGGAAGGGATTCGCCTGAGTTCACCAAAAGTTCACGGCTGGGTATTTAAAAAAAAACAACTAGAGATGGTCACGCCACAATTATGTTCAGCCGAGGGACCAAACAGTAAAAGAGATGATTGACAAACTTATCACCTAGGGGTGTGGATCAAGGGAGAAAACAACGATGGTGAATGGTTGAAGGAATGATGATGCTTAAGTGACGAGATATTGTTCAACAATAAAAACTTGTTTAAAAATTGGTATAAAACAGTATTGGACACACTTGCAAATGTCTGGCCTTGGTTGTAACCTCACTGTTGATATAAAGACTGAATTTGGATCTACACCAGCGGCTCCTGACTTCTGATTTGATGGGGAAGGAAAAACCACAACATTAGTCAGCAGACAGTCCAGTTAAGCAATGGCGCCAAAAGATCCATCAAAGAATGCAGAACTCAGTACAGCCTCGACGAGCGTGAGGTACGGCAGCCAGCACACGTACAGCGAGCAGCATCAGAAAAACAAGAAATTGTGGCTGTGACTAATGAATTAAAGTTTTGGACGATGGAGGGCTGGAAAAACACTACCGGATCTAACAGATGGTGGGTACTGTTATTACATGCCAGATTGAGGACAAGAAGAGATTCTGGTCACACAAAGTCTTGGGATGTAAAAATGTTGCAAATGTATAACAAAAATGATTACTTCATGCATTTATTAATTATATATATAATAATTTGTATTATATATATATATATATATATATATAATTAATAAATGCATGAAGTAATCGCATTATAAACAATCCGTAGTTTTAATAAAACATTAATTTCATGTGGTAATAAACTGAAACCCAAATTATAGTTCTGAAAGAGCTGATCTGAGTTACAAAGGTCATTGATAAGCAGCATCATTGGGTGCTTTTTAATTAGTAATACCTTTGCAATAACATAATTTGTGTTTAATATTCCCTTTGGGAGCCAATGGCTACAATTGCAATTAACAGCAAAATGGCAAGAATAGAACTGAATTAGTGAGTCAAAAAACTTATGACAAATTATGAGCAGATATGTGCGGATATGCTAAACATTGCTTGTCAGTGGACTTTTCGTATGAAACCAATAAATTTGCAACATTTTTAATAGAATTAAGCAAGCATCCCTTGATAAAAGTGGAGCATCACTTATACCACAGCATATCTGACCATCTCTGTCAATCAGGATTTCCCAGGGGACTAATGTCCTGGTTTAGCTCTATAAACATGACAATCAATTCAGCTTAATGAAATAGTCTGCCTAGACCCCAGATCTCAATCCATATAGGGATCTGTGGGATGAGATGGAAGGAGCGGTTTGAAATAGAAATGTGCTACTAACAAACACAACACAACTGTAGATATCAGCCAGCATCCCTGCAGATTGCTTTCAATTCAATTCAATTCAATTCAATTCAAGGAAATTCAATTCAGTTCAATTCAATTCACATTTTTATTGTCATTAACACAATGTGCAGGCAAATATGTAAATGAAAAGAGAGTTGCGGCTTCACTAGAACATGCAAACATGTGAGACATAGGGGGGCAGGGGAGGTGGAGGGAAGGGAAAATACATAAACGAAACACTTTGCACTAATTATGATCAATATGATGATTATTATTGAAAAGTACAAAAAAAAATCAGTTTTGCACCAAGCTTATTTGACTTGACCTTGCACTGTCTTCCTTACCTGTGTGTTTGCTAGCTGTGACTCTCTCATCGGAGTACACTTGGTTAGCTTATCTATCCATGTAGCTGAGTTCTTAAAGAAGAACATGAAAACTTGTTCTTATTATAATATACAATTCCATTAGAATTTGGTTTGGTTGAAATCATGGCACTAATGTGATCAAAATAGCACCCGTTTTTATATTATAGTTCTTCAAACCCTCCTTTAATAATGCAAAGAGTAGGGGCGTGTTTTGACCCCCACAACCCTGGAGGTGTGAGATATGCCTAACCACTGATTCACCCACAATCCAAAATGGTGCTTTTTTTGGGCATATACATGGGCAGAAAAAGCCCCAGCAGAAAGCCGATTGGTTGCTATATGAACTATGACCCCTCTCCTGCCTTCCCACCTTAAAAAATTCTAGAATCTCCCCTGCTTGTCCAACCATTAGGATTTTTTTCTTCTAAAGCATATGCGCCATCTAGTGGCTACAGCAGTTAAATGTCCTCTGAGGTGTATTAAACATACAGCAGCAGAACAGTGAGGGTAAGTTAGACAAAGACAAAAGCTTGTTAACTTGAAGCATTGGGTCTTAACTGCCCCCCCCCCCCCACCCCCAAGGATAATGCTGCATCCCAATCACATTATTCAAATGACCAAATACCAATTGCACTGAGAAAATGCACAGATATGGGTACATCTAACAGTTCAAACTCAGGTACAAAAAGACACTGTTTCCGTAGTTTGTGCTCAAATTCTTGTTAATCACTGTTTTACTTGCTTGGACTTCAAATTCCCTCCATCTTATGTCAATGTTTACAAAGTTTCCCAATCTGCACGACTAACAGGATTACTGCTCGGGTGTCCGTGTGTATTTTTAAGTAGCTGACAGACAACATAAAAAATACGCAGCTCTGCAACATTTGACTATTGCATATAGAAATATGCAGACGTAGACGACTTTTTTGAGGTACCGTGCTAACATTTGTGGTATATAAGGCTTGAAGTCTGAATAGTCCATCTAGTGTTACAAGCAGAGCTGAACCAAAAGCAGATTTCCGTGAAGAGCACTCAGCGTGCTTCTGCAACACAAACACGGCTGGCTGTGTAACCTCTGGGCCAATCATATGCAAACATCCCACTGCACTTTGCCACGAGCGGCCAAACGTCTGCAGTCATTGACGTCTTGTTGACAGCATTTTCACCGGAGTAGGATGGCGAGGATTCACTTACCACTCATCGTCTGTCTGCTGCCACTGGACATCTGGATCAGCTGTGATGGTGCGTATCGTGATCTTGTTGACCGTGGATGCGTGCAGCGTGAACGGCCGGTGACGGCCGACCCACCCTCTTTCTACGTCCTGACCTTTCAGAAGAATGAATACTGAAATCTTATCATTTCATACTGTTCTCATGACAAGTGAATGCAAATCATTGAAGACATGGAATATATCTATGGCACATAACAATATATTTACTGCCTTTAACTATGTACCAGTATTGCAGTAATGAAACCTTTATAGAACAGATCTTTATTTAAGGATTTGGAATGAAATATAAGTAATGATGTCATAAATCCTAAAAAAACATACGTGATGGACAACTCCAACCCTGAAGCCTTCAGCTAACATGATAACAGGCATGAAGGACGACTTATATTCCAAATAATTATGTATATAAATACATTTTTTATGTGAAAATCAGCAAACCCAGCAGGCATTAAGGTCCTGCCTTACATGCTACTTTTAACTAAAATATGTATTTTCTTCGTTTTATATAAAAACATAATATGTATTTACCTATTTCTAAAAAGTGGTGGCAGTCAAGTAAGAAGTACAAAAATTCCAGTTACTCATGCTGTTATAAATAGTGCATTAAAGCCACTGTTTAGAAGCTTGTCATCTTGTTTTGTAGATCCAGAATCCTGACATTTAACGTACCAGTTACTTCTGGGTGTATGTCTGTACTGTCATTAATGATTTGTTTTTCAGTCAGTGAATTAACTGTTCAGCTGATTCTTTTCTTAGTCTCAGACATTTTACCTCCTTTTACTCAAAGGTTAGTCCACATTTCCTGAGGTGTTTGTCTAATTCCTGTTATTTCTATCATCTCCAAATTTCTCCAAAGCGACTTCAAGTTTAGTGGAAATAATTGCAGTAAGGTATCGACAAAATGGACCAACATGTGCTGTAATTTAGGTGTAGATTCCCATGTGAGATGACTCTGTAAATCGTGTGTAAATGTTAATCTAGAGTACATTAAATTAGCCCTGGATTCTATCTCTCAGCCCAACCTCTTTCTCCTGTTTCTCCACCAGCCTCTGTGTTCCCAGTTGTTCCCAGGCACACAGCAGGGTCTTTCTTAAAGAGACAGAAGCGATACAATACACCATTCGAGGAAATCAAGCAAGGCAATCTGGAGCGCGAGTGCCATGAGGAGATGTGCAGCTTCGAGGAAGCCAGGGAGGTCTTCGAGGATGGAGAGAAGACAGTGGGTGGTGTAATGCAATGGTTGGGAGGATGTGCAATGTCTTAAAATATGAAATGTGTAGATCAATTACATTTGCATATCAAAAACAAAGGCAAACTGCCTGATTCAAGGCATTTCTCTCTTGTGTCTCTATGAAAAGGCTAATTTCACACATTCTAACCTTGATGCTGTAGTCCACTCTTTCCTAATTTGGTCCTTGGGGACCTCCAGACAGTTGACATTTTTGCTCCCTTCCAATGCACTGTAGGGAGCAAAAATGTGGACTGTCTGGCAAGGAGTTGGGAGAGAGTGAAACCGTGGACTGTCTGGGGGTCCCCGAGGACAAGGTTGGAAAACACTGTCCTGTCAAAGTGTGGACTTGATTCCTATTGAGAATCTGAGGAAGGATGTAAAATTTGCTGACAATTAAAGATTCTCCACATGTGACTAAAAGAACATTGATAAGAAATGACCTTGAATGGTGCTCCCACAAGGGAGTTTGCCCCAGACTATGTTTCTAGCTGAAATGCTAATGTGACATGCGATGGCCCATAGCCGCAAACTGCATGCATGTGTTTCCGTGCTTACAGATTCACTTCTATTTTAAAACAATCTTTGTGTTGTTATGCTAATACAGGGACTGTGGTGCCATGTGACCTTATGCTTGTCACGCCCACTTCCGCCTTCACTTCCCATTGACAGCTTCCCTATGGCACTGTAGTGTAAGGTAAAATGCTACCATGCATTAATCTTTTCAGTATTCCTTCTTTCTCAGAGGGAGTTTTGGATCAGTTATAGAGGTAAGATTTATTAAGATTCTTTTATTTTTTTAAAGGCAATACTTGTCAGGCAGCAAGTGCTGCTTCTATTAGAGGGCTAAATCCTGCTGAGTTTGGGTCAGGTTTTGTTTGTAAAAGGATGTTGCTTTGCAAGTTTTACATTTCTGATAGCAAAATCCATTTCTGCATTTCAGATGGGGACCAATGTCTGTCCTCTCCATGTCAGAATGGGGCAGAGTGCAAAGACGCTATAAGCTCTTACATATGTTGGTGTCCTGTTGGGTTCAGTGGGAAAAACTGCGAGATAGGTGAGGTCTCCTTTGGAAAACTGTGAAACTACTCTTAATGTTTGAACAGACTGTGGTGTTTAGGGCCCCTATTATGCTTTTCTGGTTTTACCCTTTCCTAAAGTGTGTTATATAGCTGTATGTGCATGTAAATGGTCTGCAAAGTCCTAAGGCTCAAAGTACAGACCAAAGGGAGTAACTCTCACCACAGAAATGCCTCGCTGGAACTCCAGCCCTTACTTCCGTGACATGGTGAGGTCACCCCGTAACACGATCCTTATTGGCTGCCTACCTGCAATGGCCTTTCTGCAGACTGCAAGACAGGGGTGGGACGTGCAGGGCAAGCTGACCAATCAGAGCAGACTGGGCTCATCGGGGGTGGGGCTTAAAGCTATAGAGAGACTGAATAGAGATGTGCTGTATGAGAAAAATTATGTGTTTTTGGAAATTGAAGCATATAAATCTATTCTAGTAGGATCCCCAAAATAAATCATAAACGGTGAAAATGAACATAATAGGGCCCCTTCAGACCCAGTTTGGATGTTGTATTACAGAGTCTATGAGGCAGTGCGATATGGACAACGGGGGCTGCGTGCATTTCTGCAAGCCTGATAAATTCCGAGGGGCGGTGTGTGAATGCGCAGCCGGGTATAAGTTAGCAGGGGACGGAAGGACCTGCGATCCTGAAGGTGACATTTGCTTTCATTAATTATATATCCTACACCTCTTTACCCATCCCACCACCGGCGAGGTATTTATAACTCACAGTCAGGCATGAAATACATGCCTTTGTATCAGTTCATCAGACACATCAAGCTTAGAGAAACTGGGAATTTCACGCACTTCAGGACTGAGAAGCACGCTTCCTGGTTTTGTGTTTGCATGTTATTTTCACATGCTTTCCTTCTTATTTTTCCAGGAGACTTTCCCTGTGGTAGACTTGCAGTTAATGTCATTTCAGCTTTATCTGGTCGGTCTGCACAGGCCGACCTTCCAGAGGAAAACCTTAATGACACTATTAATAATTCTCTACTCCTGCCTAAACAAAGCGGGCATGTTGACAGCACCACCAACCATTCCGCAACTAATAACGTTACCTGGAAACCAACTCTTAGCGAGCTGCCCTCCTGGGCCTTCTCCCCCACCTTGCCCACCATCCAGGAGGAGGTGGCCACAGACAAGCGCATCGTTGGGGGCAATGAGGTTACTCCTGGAGAGATCCCTTGGCAGGTGGGAGAATGCTCCCCACTTAACCGTATCGATTTGTAATTGCGTTTCGCATTTGTGGACAGAGTACACGGTCACTAATGGCGTGCCGTGTCACCCTGTCAGGTGGCACTGATTGACAATGACAAACGAGTGATTTTCTGTGGAGGATCCATCCTCAGTGAGCGCTGGGTCATCACAGCTGCCCACTGCCTGGAGAAGATCACCATAGACTCTTTCTTCGTCCGAGTGGGTAAGAAGCCATTGCTAGTGGAATGGCCATATCTGCTAGCTGCACTCATTGTTATCCACTACACCTCATCTGTTTCCTACTAATACTAAAAGTCATAATGCACGTAATTGTTCAAGGATGAGAAATCCCACTCTCAGTTGTGTGAACTTTGCATGTTCTCATTGGAAGAGCAGGTTTCAGCCAGGGACACAGGATTGATATCGCAGTCTAAAAAAACAAGTGAATTAGTATCTGTAAATTGCTTGTAGTATATAATTGTGTGCAATGGACACCTATTAAGGGCATCCCCCGCCTCAGGTCTGGTGTCTCCTGTGATTGGTTGCACCTGAATAAGAACATAAGAACATAAGAAATTTACAAACGAGAGGAGGCCATTCGGCCCATCAAGCTCGTTTGGGGAGAACTTAACTAATAGCTCAGAGTTGTTAATCTTATCTAGCTCTGATTTAAAGGAACCCATGGTTTTAGCTTCCGCTACACTAGCAGGAAGACTATTCCATACTCTAACTACACGCTGTGTAAAGAAGTGCTTCCTCAAATTTGTTTTAAAATGTTCTCCCGCTAATTTCCACTTATGGCCACGAGTTCTAGTATTTAGACTAATATTGAAATAGTCATTTGGCTGAACAGTGGTAACTGTATACTGGGTATGCAGATATGAAAGATGGATGGATTAGGGTGGTGTGTTGGCAAAGTGATTAGCACTGTTGCCTCACATGGTTTGAGTATCCGCCACACTTCCATGTGTGTGGATTTTGCAAGGCGTGTGTGTGCGAGTCTGTGTGTGTTTGTGTGTCTGTGTTTGTGTCTGTTTGTGTCTGTCTGTGTTTGTGTGTCTGTGTGTGTTTGTGTGTGTCTGTGTTTGTGTCTGTGTGTGTTTGTGTGTGTCTGTGTGTGTCTGTGTGTGTGTGTCTGTGTTTGTGTGTGTGTGTGTGTGTGTGTGTGTCTGTGTTTGTGTCTGCCCTGCAATAGCTTAGCGCTCCATCCTGTGTTATTTTCTGCCTGTGACAGGACAGGCTCTGGATCCCCGTGACCCTGAATAGATAGTTATAGAAGATGGATGAATAGATTTGTCATGCCACATTACAGTGGGAATAAGCTATTTAAATTTAATAATTTAATTAAAATTATTAAGCTAACACAGGTGATGGTCAACCACTGTATAAACAATACCTAGTCAGAGTATGTAGAGCTTACCAATAAGCACATATTGAACTCAAGCACATAACAACAGCACTGGGAATGATGCCTGGCTTTTGCCTGAACGTGGTACTGGATTGATCTCTAGGAGATAAATGTTCATGGTTTTCCATTAAATGAAAGCAAGATTAATTACCATTTGATGTCTCTTTGTGACCTGAATAATTCCCCATTACAACCAAAATGAAGAATATAGATAGTGTTTAGTTCTGTCAGCTCATGTTTATTATGTTATGGGCTATAGACATTGTAACAATGAAAGCCCAAATATCTTGCCAAGTATATCTTGCCATGATGCTCAGAGTGATGGTGAAAATTATAAAAAAAAAAATAAATAAATACAAAAAACAAGATAATGTTTATAACGTATAAAACATTCAGAGCAGCCCCCTAATATTGCGTTGCAACCATGTTTGCACTAAGAACATCTTCAGCTCCTTCGTGCCGAAAGCTTCCCCCGGGATGCTGGTTCCTGTGATTCCCGTCGTTGCACTGATTTTGGCTCAGAACAGCTTATCTCATCTCATCCCACAGATGTTCAATTGAATGGAGATCAGATGAGTGGGTAGGCTGAAATCATTCCTGGGTTGATCTTATCCTTGTGCTAAAGGCCGTCCTTCTGCTGATAAAATCCATTCGCAAGAAAGGATGTGCCTTACTGGGAACGGTGTTCCAACACTGTCACACGGCTGAAATTCTACATTTTTACTAATTTGTATGATGCTTTAATCCAAAGTAAAGAGAAAGGTTACAATTTATGCACATTGCCAGGTATTTGGGGCCAAGACCTTTGTCTTGATAGTGCCATTCAATACTTGTTGAGCTACAGGAGCAGCGTGTGCCTTGGAAACACATTCCACCACTACCAGGCTTTGCTGAAACATCTCACACGATCTCACATGCTCTTCTGCATACCTTTTCTCCAATTAGAGTGGATGGATGGATGTTCTTTAACCAGTCTCCTTTCACCTGAATTTATCTGATCAGTTTATTAAAAGAATGAGATGGGATCCCTAATGTGTTGATCACTGAGTGCATAAAAAATATGTACAGTATTACTATAAGGTTAGCACAAGGATATAGACAGGTGACCACTTGAGAATATTTCGGCAGTTTATCGAATGGTATTTGTAACAACGCACTATTACATAATAATACCCCATTGTGTAATAACTTGACAAAATGTAACAAATTTTCACTTCATTATGTAATAGCACCTGCATTTTGTGTAATAATCTGCCACATTTTGTAATAGCTTGAACGCAATATGTAATAAATTTCCCTGCATTTTGAAATAATCACATATGGTGATGGTTATTACAAAATGTGGGAGTTGCACTTTTTTATGATGAAAATTTAATAATACGATGCATTATGTAATGCATTCATCCATTTTCCAAAACCGCTTATAATGTTCAGGGTCGCGGAGGGTTATGAGCCGATCCCGGAGGCTACAGATCCAAGGCAGGGAACAACCCAGGATGGGGCGCCGACCCATCACAGGGCACACTCACACACCAATCACTCACACTCCATTCACTCACACACGCACACCTACGGGCAATTTGGTAACTCCAATTAGCATCAGCATGTCTTTGGACTGTGGGGGGGAAGCCGGAGCGCATTATGTAATAAACAACCAAAATGGATGTCTTCATTCACACTTTGTCAAGGTATTACATAATAGTGTTATTACATATTGCGTTGTTACAGTATTACAAGCTACCACCATTAGCGTTGCATATAGCACCATCTACGATTATCAGATGCTATTGCAGCTGCTCATGTGTTACTTCATTACCAGCATGCAGGGTGAAATGCAAGCTTCAAATGTTGAGATGATCTCGACAATCTCCACAGGGGAGCACAATGTGCACAGAAACGAAGGCACCGAGGACGACTACGAGATTTCCGAGTGGCAAGTGCACAACAGCTACAATGCTAGCAAGAGCAGGTTCAACCACGACATCGCCCTGCTGCGACTGAAGACGGCCATCGTCTTCTCAGATTTCATCCTCCCAATCTGCCTCGGGCCCAAGAAGTTCACCGAGGCGGTTCTGGAGAGCGGTATCCGCTCGCTGGTGAGTGGCTGGGGAAGGGTGCGCTTTGCGGGGGCCGAGTCCCCCGTGATGCAGAAGGTGGAGGTGCCATATGTTCAGCGAACCGTGTGCAAGGACAGCAGCAGCAGCCACATCAGCCGCTACATGTTCTGCGCGGGCTACCTACACGAGCACAAGGACGCCTGCCAGGGAGACAGCGGGGGGCCACACGCTAGCAAGTACCGGGACACCTGGTTCCTGACCGGCATCGTAAGCTGGGGGGAGGAATGTGCCAAAGACGGCAAGTTTGGCGTCTACACCCACGTGTCTTACTACTACCACTGGATCAGCTGCATCACTGGCATGAAGAGGAGCCAAAACAATCTGGACGACAAAGCTGCCAATCAACCTCCGTCATGCAATTTCATGAAGAGAAACCTTCAGTAAGAACGCACACACACGGAATGAAAGTTTGCGACGCCTGTTTAAAGTTTGTTTCGCTGTTCTCGGTTTTTAATCTTCATGATTATGGCTCATGATCGAAGAAAAATTCTGAAAGGTTTCATTTGGACGGCATGCTACAGTGGAAGCAGACTAACACAAAACTGTGCTCTTCCATACATGCCAAATGCTTGAGTAATTGGCAAAAATTAGCTAAGTACTGTATGAACCTATTAACCAGGGAGGCTGATTAACGGGCTGCGGAAGTTACCCACACGTAGAACTCCATTAAGGTGTTTAATATAATTAAATTGCATCACTATCGTATTGTTTGATAATCATTGGATCAGAATGTGCTTTATACTGTCTTATTTACAATCTAGATAATATATTTAACACATATACATTTTTCCGCTAAACAAATGTGTTTTTGCCAGTTGGCATAAAGTGGTTAAACCTCTCAGGGCACATTGTGAATCACTCATCTGTAATCCTGCTACTCCAGAGCTTAAAAATAGTAGTTTTGTGCCATGTACAGAGTTGGTACTTTTCATTTACAGCTTTTGAAAGTGCCAGTAAAATACATACTTTATGAAATTAACAGCCAGGAACGAGTCTGACGTGACACTGTCATACTCTAATAAAAAAAGGGAAAAATAAAACAGGAAAAAAAGATTATAAAACATTTGGCACCACATGTATTGACATACATTTTATGCAAATATCCCTCTATACATAGTTATGGCACATGACACGACCATAAACATTTCATGAGAGTATTTGAGTTCTGTAAAAGAGACATAATTCCGTAGGTCACATACAAAGCATATCTAACACTGAATCTGACAATTTCCTGTTTGGAGATGATTAACAGGCTCCCAATTTTATTTACATAAACAGCCTAAGATAGGTCCATCCTGCTTTGGAAGGGCCTGTTTTGGGGTTTTCTGTCTGTAAAGGGAGAAGCCTGTTATAGGAAGAGTTGTAAGTCATTATAAGAATCCCATGTGTTTAGCAGGCAGAGTGGTAACTATAGAGTAGCCAGGTGTGATGTAACGACTGTAATCCACATGTGCTTAAGACTAAAACTCGCTTGAAATGTAGAGTTAGTGAACCCGCTAGGTAGCGATCCGCTCTGTTTAAGACTGATCAGGATCAGGACGTTTGGAATGTTTCTGCCATCCCTGCATGTGTGATGAGTTCTATACACAGGCCTCCTTTGGCTACAGTATAAGGTAATAAAGGTGACGAATGTTTCCAGAACCTCCTTTGTTTGCTAGAGCAGGACTTTACCACTATTTTTCCCCAAGGGCCAAACTCCATCAGCAACAAATTTCCAAGGTCCACTGCATCTGAAAAAAAATATTGCCAAATTGGGGGTGGGGAGGGGGATCGATCCCGTGGTCTGGATGCAATCATATATCCATCTGTGAGGTGGTGACCACTAAGCTGGGCTTCCAACAAAATTAGGAAATAATCTGACAGGATCCTCTATCACCTTCAGTCTAGAAATTACACTGTCCAAAAAGTAGCCTTATTCACCATAATAGGTTGTTTGGGTTCAAAGGTCACCGTGAATTTAACAGGAGTCAAAAAGCCAAGGTGCACTTGGAAGTGAACTTGTGATTTCTTTCAGGGTGAGCTAAGTTTCCTGGTTTTCAAGTTCCCTGGGTCTAGGGGACAAACAAGAAATGACACTGTAAGTGACAATCCCAAGGCTGTGACATGTTCAGGACAATCACAAGTGAGCTGGGCCTCATACAAGAACCACTCGTATGAACAGATTTGTGCATCAGTTGCTCGTGTGAGTGATTTCGGACAACATGCCACATTCACCAATATTCTCCTATTTAGAATGTTTTCTTAGGTACAAACAAAATTTATGAGTGGTCTAGACCTGTCGTAGGAGTCCTGTGCAATTACTCGGTTGTTGTGCAAACCAAAGTTTCTCAATAACTGTATATTTCATTACTTTGAAGCAATTTCGACTTTGGAAATTCATATACACAGTTATTGTACTTATGTTGAAAATATCCTAAATTTATTCATGTAGCCTAACGATATTAATTGGCTATCAGTGCTATAGTATAACAGTACAATATCAATATGAGCATCAGAAACTGCAAAGCTAATTAAAGGTCAGTGGATTTCACTGATGACGCTGTTAAAATTTATAGACTTTCATTTATGGATCTAAAAAAACAGGACTTCAATCTCCAAAATTGAAAAAGTTCTTTTTTCCATCTTTAACGCCATTTTCGTACCCCATTTCCTGACATATGGGGCAGGACGCGGAACCATACATATTTTTGTTGAGGCGTTAATTGCACTAATTTACGCAAACCGTATTACGCACTGGTCAATTTCATCATGTTCGTGCAGAGAAATTTACGTGGTTCTCTGAAGTTAGGAACGTTTGCTGAATCCGACATGGTAACACTCATAAGCCCATCTTATAAAGCAAGAGGAATTTGAGATCAGACTACAAAAGTGTTCTTGCATGTAGCCCAATGTCATCGGTTAACACTGGGACTCACAGGTACATTGAGATCCTTCCTGTACCTCCTATCCTGCTGGGGCTCCCCCTGCTGCTTCCTCCCAGTATCACCTGCAGGTTGTCAGCTTGGACCCGGCCCTCCAGATTGCGACTCACATTTTTCACCTGCCTACAAGAGGAACTAAAGTGGGACTGAGGCTCACAGATCAATTACAGTTCTCGTTAATTCCAGCTAACCCTCCACAGGTTCCTGAAAGCACTCACCATACCCCTTCAGTCTCTTCCCGTAACAGATGGATGAGGTCACCGTTCTTGATGATGAGGTCATCAGGCCCATACTGCTGACAATCCTCCACAGCCCTGTACTTGCCTGGGACCTAAAAAAGAAGAAGCACAGGTTCAAGCATTATTTTATCGTTAATTATACTGGACAAATAATGGAATAACTGGGGCCCCAGTATCGAAAGTTGTGAACTGTTCTTAAAATATACATAATGATTTAATAAATACACCCTCTCCTTGTTTACAGAGTTCTGTTCCAACGACCGGGGTGATTTTCCTGAAGCCTTCTTAATGTTATGTCGTTCGTAAGTTCTATCTTCTAACATAGAACTTACGAACGATGTAGCTTTCGGAAGGCTTCGGAAAACTCACCCCAGGTTCTTAAGTGAAATATTCGCTTACTGAAAATCACTGTAGCCTGGGCATGACTGTGATTGTGCTTTATGTTGTGAAGGTCACTGGTTGATACCATCTCATTCAGATAAAGTCACACCAGCAATAGTCTCACACTGGCAAGAATATATGCAGTCTGTCAGGATGGTTTAGATTTATGAAATCCGAAGAGGATCTGTCTATTGTAATTTGTATGTTTTGCAACGATACTGTTCATACAATGGGTGGCAACACAATCAGTTATTTTAACCACGGGAAATGTTAGCACCCCAAATAACATGCAATTTTTAATTAAGTTTATTGTCATAATGCTACAATCAGTGTTTCACATACAGAACTGCCGATTAAGTGGTTACCATTACTACATACAATTGTAAACAGGCAAACAAACAAAAAGTGTGATCTATAACAGGGGTGACCAACATGGTGCCACGGGCACTAGGATGCCCCCAAGGACCACACGAGTCGCCCCCAAGGACCACACGAGTCGCCCCCAAGGACCACACGAGTCGCCCCCCAAGGACCACACGAGTCGCCCCCAAGGACCACACGAGTCGCCCCCC